CTGGAGATATTTAGAACAGAATAAGAATAAACATTAAGCTGGTCAGTATTCCTGAACGAACTGAGGGTGCTAACCCTTCTGATTTTGTCAAATACTGGCTATTGGACACTTCCCACAGTTCCCATCTGCCTTTTGCCACCAAACAATTCACAGAGACCCATTCTTATTCATCTCCTAAATTATAGCGTTAAGAGTGAGGCACCTACTTGTAACAGCCTGAGCAAGCATCCATACATGACTCAGCCACATAGTTGTAACCAATGAACTCTCTCTGAGAAACAAAATATGTAATTAAACATTTTTATTCTCTAGCGCAATGGTGGTCAACTCACTTTATGTAGAGGCTTTAAGTGTGGCACCTGGCAATACAAAGGGCCACACATAAGGTTTAGTATATGTAATGCTACAGAAAATGGACAGAGACTGGGCATACTTCTTTAGATGGACAGAGGCTGTGGGCATTGTACAGGAGATGCTCAGAGATTGCTGATATAAGACAGGTCTGCAAAGCTGTAGGAGACTGTCAGAGACTGGGGACATGTTACAAAAGACTGCTAGAGATCACTGCTAGACATGTGTGCCAGCAAAAAATTAGCTTTGGTTCATTTTGGAGTTTTCAGTTTTTGGGATTCGGGTCTGAAAGTCAATTTGTTATGAGATTCGGTTTTGGACAAATCTAAAATTTTTGTCAATTTCAGATGAGTTAAATAATATTTACAAACAAATTTTCCTTGCAGGTGACATTAGAAAAAAAGTGACACTCTTTTTAACTTTTGACAGTCCACAGAAACAATAGTAACAAAAACAGTGTGCAGCCCCCCCCCCGTCACACACACACCCCAATTCATACCAGACACTTTAGGTCAGGTAAATCCCTTACTGAACCCTTGATCTGAGCAGCAGGAAAGGGGAAAGACGAGCACGCGTACCTGCCACCTACACTATACCAGGCACATGCCTTCAACATGGGGAGGGTGCTTTCCCATGGGGGAACCCCTGGAAAGGCATCTTGTCCACCTGTTGAGGAGGAGAAGGGCCTCTTCCCCTCAACCCTGGCCGAGTGATTGAATGAGTAGGGGTAACAACTACCACTTACTCAATCACAAGGGAGGGGGGGCATCTGGGTTCTGGGGGCACCCAGATTCCTATAAGCCCCCCTGCCCACAGACTGATTAACATGGGGACTAGGTGCTCCCCCTGGCAAAGCACCCTCCCCATTTTGAAGGCATGTGGCCTGGCATGGTGCAGAAGGGGGG